TAATAAACTAAACATGTCTTAACTCTAATTCATAATAAAATAATAATAACTAAAGGTAATATTTTAACCCACCCTTAATTCCTAATAAAATAATAAATCTAATCCTAAAAGATAATGCATCATCCTATATTAAATTATATTACAAATAATCAATAAAAATATTGAAAATTCGTAATATTTATAAAATCCCGTATAGGATTTTCTGCATGCATCGTCTTCAGTAAAATGGCTATATCTTGAGTTCCCGATATCGGATTGATGTGATTCAAGAACCGTTGGAAAGATAAGGGACAGACGGTTGTATCTTCATAAGATAGGTCGACCAAACAAGATCAGGATCTCATTCAAAAAGTCGTCGCAAGTCTGCTGCTGTTCTGATCTTCTCTTCCAAAGCTTGGACGAGTGGATCATTTGGAAAAATTATTACTTCTTCCTTTGATTTGAACCTTGTGATGTATGTATCATCCTCCCTTTCTTCAAAAAGATTCGACCTCGAATCTCAAACATTAAATGGAGCAACATTAGAATAGTTTAATAATTCATTCATATTATGCTTACCGAATAGATGTACTTTGAATCTTCGAGATTTTGTTTTTCTAATAGGTTCGAGTAGAAACATTAATCCAAAGAAGTATGTATTATGAATTCTGATGCATATATCACTCGTCGCCTACAAAAATTCCTCCACCGGCACCGCCCAGGTCTATACCTATGACGTCGCCTCCTACGGTTCAATTGTGCCCAAGGGTCTATCGTTCGCGGTCTGGGATAAGACGGCGGAGAGTAGAAGCGATGGGAGTTTGGCATTTTCGCTAAAATTAAGGTGCCGGCGGTTTTAGCGGCGAGTGGGAAGATTAATCAGGTTTGGCAAGTGGGTCCTGGAGTCGGAGCTGGTGGCATGTTGGAGAAACATGAATTCGCCGCCGCTAATTTACAAGCTAAAGGGACTTTAGATTTGAAAAGTGGACAGAGCTCCACTGGTTCGGGAGGAAACGACACGCTTAAGAAGAAAAATGTGAGTTTCCCTTTCAATAAATTGTTTGAAATCCTAGATTGATTTGGGTTTTAGATGAATTCGTAGAAATTTGACAAACGAATTCACTAATTCCAGATTCATGGGATTCTAAATGCTGTGAGTTGGGGAATTTTGTTTCCACTGGGGGCAATAATTGCACGCTACATGAGAACCTTTGAATCGGCAGATCCAGCCTGGTTTTACCTTCATGTCTTCTGTCAAGTATTAGCTTATGCCATAGGAGTTGCTGGCTGGGGAACTGGTCTTAAGCTTGGAAGTGAATCCCCAGGGATCACATATTCAGCTCATAGAAACATTGGAATTGCCCTTTCCGTTCTCGCTACTGTGCAGGTATTTTTGCATAAACTGGGAATTTTCCATAAACTCTTAGGTGATTCTTGGTTTGTCGGTTTCTGGATCTTTACAATCGTGTGAAAAACTTGCATCTTATTGTATGTCTTTTGACTATTTGTCAGATTTTTGCCTTGTTTATAAGGCCAAAGAAGGATCACAAGTATCGATTCTACTGGAACATTTACCACCACAGCTTGGGATACGCCATCCTCGTCCTCGGCATTGTCAACGTGTTCAAGGGTCTCAATATATTGAGCCCTGAACATAAATGGAGAACAGCTTATACGGTTATGATCATCACCTTGGGCGGTATTTCATTGCTGTTGGAAGTCATCACTTGGATCGTAGTTTTGAAGAGAAGATATAAGAAATCCACCAAACCCTATGATGGATACAGCAATGGCAACTGATTCTTGCACTAGTTTCACTTTTAAATTGTGTTATCAATATATGTCATCCCCTATCATAATACGTAAAGAATCATATAATACTTTTATCCGTAGATAGATGAATTAGTAGGATTATGACAAATTCAATACATTAAATTTTTATGTCGATTAAAATGAAAAAACTTTTGTTTAATTCATGTGAAGAGACATTCTTACATTCCAACCCTTGTTCCAACGATCGTTAACGTGAGGGCGGGGCGAGATTGAAAAGAGTTGGCAAGATTTTGCTTGGATCATTGACGTCTTTGCTTTGATTACGACTAATGAAGCACTCACAGCCTAACGGGGCATTTTCTCCTTTGCACATAAAAATTAAAGAGAAAATAAAAGAGGTGGATCCTTTAGCTTATCACTTGAGTATGTAAGATGTGAACTTGGCAAAGACGATGAAACAGAAACTGTCACTAATACTTCCAAAAGGAGTGTGAATCTAGCTTAGCTATGTGTAGTCAACTCACTCACATTTGGCATAGTCACATGAAACGACCTCGTGTTTCATATTCTTATTCTATTTAGCGACGATTCTTTTTTTTGAATTTGGTTCACACCCATATATATTATTTCCATTTCTAGATTCAACTCTAACCTTTATATTACAATTTGGTTCTATACTTTTATATTAAAAAAATGGGTATAAAATATTGAAGCTCCGAATGCCTAACTTAAGCGTTAAGGATTGATTGACAGCGACGGAAATTTAAATCCAAACCGTTGCTGTTTGGTGGTATTGGTATTAAATAAAAGTGGGTGAAAAGAAAAGAAAATGTGGCCACACGTCCTGATGATGCCACGATGGACTAAATAATTACCTTTTCTACTTTATTCGTAATAATAGCTTAATATGACATCATATCGTCGCTGTTTTCGTTAAGATAGTAGTATGAGATATCATTCAATTTTAGACATTAAACCATTTATATGGTTAAACTTTTAATCACTCTAACTAATATTCAACTTGTGTTTTAGTTTTAATTATATTATTAAAATTTTATTTTGATAACAGTGTGATGATAGCTACAGACATAAATGAAATGTTAAAATGATATATATATATATATATATATATTTGTCCTTATAGTTTTTAGAGTTATGTCCTAATTAATTCTGATAAGGACGTTAAAATGTTCATTGTCAAATGATTGAAAGTTTTTAAAACATATAATAACTTCTAATTACCCAAATATTAATAAAAACATAATTAATAATATAAATTCCAAACGACTATTATATCTCAGTCAAGTTAACGTCCAAAATTGCCAATTTTTAACGGAAAGTAACGAGTTTGGAACATATAAATAGTCGTGTGATCATTTTGTAATTTTTAATACTCGGAGGACTCGACAAAATAATATTTTATAGTTGGAGGACCATTTATATACTTTACCTATATATATATATATATATATAATTTTAAAAGGGAAGAAACAAGGAAAGAGTGGATGACTAGTAAAGTCTAGAGCTTTAGCAACACAACCCCACAAAAGAGAAGAGAAGATGTAGAGTTTAGAGTTGAGGGGGTTTTGATGGAGGTTGGTGGGATGTCAGTGTGCATCTCGAACCAAACATGAATCTTCCATGCTCTAACTACCACTCAATCTCTATGGCGACTATAATAATGTTTGGGGCAGTCATTAGTGAGTTTCACACTTACCTTCAAAGGGCTACGTTACTAATCCTAAACACATTGCTTTTTAAATGGAATTTTGGAGTGTATTAGGCCATCATCAAAGATATGGGTAAGGCCCCACAATATTTTGGGCTACCTCATGTCCGTGAGAGCTACTGTCCCTTCATCAATCACGCTTACAAACCAAAACAGAAATGTTCCCCCCCCCCTTTTTTCTTTTTGTATTCTATTCTGCATGAAAGTGACAAATAAGAAAAAAATATCAAGAGTTGATGTGTTGCTGTTGCTGAGATGTTTAGAAAGGGAAGGCGATGATACGGGTGCTTATTCTTCTAATATTTGATTTCATACTCTGTTAATGGGAGTGTGTAAATGTATTGGACTTAATGAATAAATTTATGTTTATGTTCGGTTCTTTATTTTTAAAATGTTCATGTTTAGCGTTTGCGAATATATTCTTTTAAAGTTTATGAATATATTCGTTCAATATTTTTCATACAAACTCTTTTTATTCATTTATTTATTTGCAAGTTAAAAGATGGTAAAATTATGTCAGTAGTACTTAATTTCATTAGACTTCATAGTTTGAACTCCAAAGTTTATCTTATGTTCAATTTAGTCCAAACATTCACCAATATTTTTAAAATATAAAAAAAATAAAAGAAAAAGAAGAACCAAGTAAATGAGTCAATAAACGAACTTATAAACAAGCTACTAAACAATTTTGTTTGTGTACATAAACAAATCGAACATATATTTATTTGTGTTCTAAATGAACAAAAAAATTTGTTCATACTCATTTACTTGGTTTAATAAACAAATGTTGTATTAACAGTTCATCAAACATTTTGTTCTTTTACACCCTTAAATGGGAGAAGCTTCAAAACCTGAATTTTAGATGGCGGGCATTATCCAAGTCCGGATGAGCCTCTTGCGTCGCCACTCACCAGAGGCCTCCCTACAAGTCTTCTCACTCTATGTATTTTTATCTTTATATTAGTGTTGTTTTGATGGTTCGCATGCATCAGCTGTTCGACGGCACCCCTGTCGAGTAGTGGAGTTCCGTTGTCACTTCACATAGTGGCCATATTTTGTCAGAAGGCCGCAAGTCTCATGGTTTGTGGATCATGAGACTCCCTCCGTATTAGGACTGAATAACACATCTAAATGATGTACCATTATGCTATAAGTTCAAACCTAATGTCCGGTTATAATCTATGGTATCGGGTTCATTATTTCCTTTTCGTATCTAATACATATTCAAATACGAATATAAAAGTATAACACTTCAGAACATATAAGTAACACACTCAAGTTTGAGTCCGAGCAACCTAGGCTTGAATAATAAACAGGGTTTCCTTAACGTGAAACCTATCAGTATGTAAAAGAATACATATTGAGAAACTCCAAAACTGACAAACTTGATCATTAGGAACTCACCAGGAAGAGGATAGTGTATGGAAATGGGAAATGAAGGACCGGATTTCAGGGCTTTCCGACTTACATTGTTGTAGATTTCCCGTATAACGACCTCGAAAGCAGGCTGAAGTGGATTCGAGGGCTGATGTCTCCATGAAGAACATGCCTTCTTCTTCAGCAAGGATCTTGCCTTCTTCCACGCTTACGTCTCTTATGTTCTCCAAATCACATTTATTGCCTACCAGCATTCTTGTCACAGTCGTATCACAATGAGCTGCAGGGTTAATTCCAACCACGTTAAAACTTTGCATATTTCCATGAACATGACAGTAGTTTCACCTTCCCATTAACCCTCTAAAACAGTAGTCTCCGTATGATCGCCAAAAGTGACAATATCTCCAAACAATTCAATTCTACATTCTTGCAATGCCAAAAACAATAATACGACAACTAAAACTTCATCTCTTTCAAAAAATCTCAAATGCATTTCCAAATCAAAGTTTAGAAACATAAAGGAAAAGAGGATAACGAATCAAACACTTGCTGGTAAGCTCGTCGAGCCAACGTTTAATGCTGTCAAAGCTAGTCCGCCTACTGATATCATAAACAATAAGAGCACCAACAGCGCCTCTATAGTAAGCAGAAGTGACAGCTCGAAACCTTTCTTGACCAGCAGTGTCCCAGATCTGTGCTTTAACCTCTTTCCCATCAACTTCCACACATTGGGTCTGGAACTATACTCCAATGGTTGCCTTTGAGTTGTTATCGAACTCGTTCCTAGCGAAAAGTGACAAAAGGTTTGATTTTCCCACGGCCGAGCCGCCGACCAGCACAATCTTGAACGAGTACTCCTCGCCTCCTGCCTCTTCTTCGTGGCCACCCATGTCTCTTCGATGTTCTTTTGCTGTGGTGGGAAAAAAAGAGGAGGTTTTGACTCTGCGTTGGATGTCTGAAATGTCAACTGTGAAGTGTTTTTTGAAGGATTTAAAGCTGGGAAGTAGTAGAAGAAATGGTAGCCACGGACAAGCTGCGTAATTGGCGGGGTTTTGGTGAATTTGCGGCGTTTTTTTGGTCTGGTTGTGGGATTTGCGGGCTTCGTAGCATGTAGTGGGATTTGAGTTAAAGTGGATTTACTGAATATTGCTGTAGTTTCGGCTCAGAGATGGCAAATAAATAGATACCCAACTTTTATATTTTAGAGCAATTAGAGTACATGGCACAGGGTTTTAGAGTTTTGAATTTAGGGTTAATCAATTATTCTTTTCTCAAATAGTAATTAGATTTAGATTAAATTCGTACGTCAAAAAATAAATAACACGACTTATAGATTTGTCAAATAAGTTTTGAATTGTAATTTTTGTTTGGTTTGAATTCTATTGTACATTATATTTCCAAAAATATGTTTGATGATGTCACTCTCGATTAATCTAATTTATCTTATTGTCAAAAAATAGAGTAATTAAATATTTAATATTCTAAAAATTATACTGATAATAATGATTTAACGTTATTTAGTTAAAGAAATAATATATGTTATAGATTAAAAGGTTAGGCTTTAAAATATTAACATTTATAATTTTACAAAAATAGATACTTAATCGTATTAGAAACAAAATTATTATATAAAAAAGTCAAATATTTAATTATACCATTAAAACAAGAAAGAAAAAGTTGATATATGTGTTCGGTAATATAAATAAAAACAGTGACAAACATAACATGAGGATTGAATATTGCAAAACTTATATCCGGCAAAATTCATCCGCTACGACTAAGTTGAAGAAACATTAGAATCGTAGGAAATTGGCTCAAGATGATCTCAACATAATATTATATTTATACACTGAATCTGATAAAAATAAATAAACTTGTATATAATATGAATTAACTGGAAGATACCAAACACACTAATTGATAAAAGAAATAGATTCTTCCAGAAAAAAAACAAAGAAATTCTGGTGCTGATGAGGAAGGCAAGGAAGGATATAATAACCAGGTGTCAGAGGTGGAAGAAGTGAGCATGAGAAGAGATGGTGCAATCACAACACATGGCTGGCTGCCCCCATTTCCTCCCCACGCTTGCCAACCCATTCATCATTATTGGCCGACGTTTTTCTTCTTTCTTTTGACCATTGCACCCACTTCAAAATCTCCTTTCATTTTGAGCCTGCAAATTTTCTTCATCGGCTTGGGATTTCAGCAACAATACATCCCAAATTCATCATTCCCCATGTCTCTGGCAATCATGATTTTGAGGGCTAATTCACCAAACTTATATACTTCTTGTTATCATATATTTTAAAGTCGATCCATTTTTTTAATAGTTTGGATAATTATAAAGTAATATATATTTAGTTAACTTATTATTAATATATGTATACTCTAGACATAGTTATTCTAATTGGAGTCCTTTAAATAAAACGACATTTTTGTTTTACTGAAATCAGCTCGAGAGTAAACCATTTTGGATGTAGTGTTTGGGGGACCTCTTGTAGGTGTTCACCCCTTCTGAGACACTGAAAGATTTAATACTCTATTTCTTATGGTCATTACTTGACTGACCACAACAATCTCTCTCTGTCTGGCTCATTTTTCCTCCCCTTAAGCTGCTGCCTTAAAACTTCATATATACCATCACTTCCTTGGACTTCACTTCCAATACAAAGTGGAGAGATGGGCTACATTAAACTATTCTACTTACTTTTCCTGCTCGTCTTCTTCTTCCTTTCACCACATGTAATGCAAGGTCACTTCCCTTGCCTTGAAACCACCTTTCCCTATTATTTCTAGCTAAAAACGTTGCATTTGTCTTGTTTTCATGTTACTTTATGCTTATGGTTCCAATTTGTAGGATTCGGAACTCAACTTATTCGTCCTCTCCAGCAAGGGGTTTATCAATATCCTCCACTGCATTTGCAGGTAAAGGGTACTGGGCTACTAGTTTATTTTATGATTATAGAAACAATTTTCTAACTCAAAAACATTTCTAAGGCAACGCGTGGCAGCAAGGAAGCAACGATGAATCGGAATTGGAGGAGATTGATGATTGGATCCACGGCTCCGACCTGCACTTACAACGAATGTAGAGGATGCAAATACAAATGCAGAGCAGAACAAGTTCCGGTTGAAGGCAACGACCCAATCAACAGTGCATATCACTACAAATGTGTTTGCCACAGGCCATGAAATTTAGTAAGCAGCAACTGCCTTAGTATTAACTATTTAGGTCAAATCCTTCTATCAGTCCCTGTATTATGTTTGTGTTAGGAACAAAACAAGAAGCTGATTTTCTGAAACTGCAAAGGTGTTTTAGGGTTTTTGAAGTGAGGGTAACTGCCAATGAAACTGCAAGTTGGCATGTGGCAGTGGCCCTAGAATACAATAAAAACAAAAGCTAACAAAAAGTTCACATGGGCTAACTTTCTTTTGAAGCTATTCAATTATACCAACAACGGCAGAACGTGAAACCATGATAGAAGAAAAATGACAGCAGCTGATGAGGCCCCATTTTCTGAGACAAACAAGAAAGACCCACCAACATTTATATGGTGGACTACATTCGGCTTTCTTGCAGTTTTGAGAATATTCTGGTGATCACCCATTTTCAAAAAAAAAAAAAAAAAGTTGCAAGTAAATTATAAGACTCCAATGCTTTTGTGGGGGCTGTAGGCCTCTGGTTTAGTACATTGAATTTGCAGATTTCATGAATCAGAACCTTCAAAATCCAAATCAGCATGACCATATTCCAGAAGCACAGATTTGAGAAAACTTAGAGCATGCAACAGCTTTTCAAATATGGGACCAATTAGTGTCTTATATCATATCACGGTGTTGTGAAGTAAAATTTCCATAAATTTATATTTTTTAATAAACTGTTTAGAATTATTCCAATCCCGGCAGGTCCACTCCAGGAGTTGGAGATCGATGCTTAATCTCTGGCCTGGCTTTGCTGCAAAGACACGAGGCTCCCCAAGGATCGGGGCGAGAATCAATGTGGGTGTAATCACACGTTTGTAAGTGTGCATTGTATCGAGTAGAAAGTACGAAACAAGCATGTACATAAATCCTCTCTTAAAGGTTGGTGAAGTGGGAGATATTTCAGTGGAAAGGGGAGGTCCCAAAAGGATTCCTGTGTGGAAATATGAAGACAAAATACATGTGGGAGAAGAGATCTCTGATGTTCTACAATACCCTGTCAGGCTCTCTCATATATGTACAATTGATGTAGGTAGAGCAGCTCTACGCAAATTTGAACTTAATGCTATCAAGTATCCTACATCAAATAAATACACCTACAACCGATTCATAATCTATCTATTCATCTTCAGAATGCTACCTGCCTTATGTGCATGTTCAAGGGTCGTATGTTACAGACTGTGTTTTGGTATTTAATTCATTCCCTCTCTGCGCCTACATGCACTACAGAGATATTATCAATATAAATCTTGCTTTTTCCGTATCTGCTCTCTTGCCTTATGGGCTTACTTCATACTTGAATGTGTTAACAATCATTGCTCTAAAAAGGTTGTTGGGCCTTTAAAAAATTTCATATACATCGCTCTTATTATTAGTCAACATATAAACGGGTTATATTTCTTTTAAATTATAATTTGGTTATTCAATTGATATATTATTATAAATATGTCTTTTAATCATTCAATATTAGACGTAATAGATAAGTAGTATTATACCATAATAATTTTAGTCCTCAAAATTTATTATATATATATATATTTATATTTATATGAATTCTATCTTAATTTAAAATTTTCAATAAAAATATATTTTTATGTAATTTTTTATTATTAATTTAGTCCTTATTCTTCTCTCAAATTACTCATTCTCCATCGTTAATCATCATCCCTTCTTGATTATCTTCATTAAAACAAGTAATACTAAACTTGATACTTTTTCCTATTATTATTCTGTCACCATTTTTTATGGATCTTGTAATTCACATTATAAAATTAAAAATAATTATACATATGATTTTTAGAAAACATATAATATATACAAGAGAATTATAACTATAAGAACGAATTTATATGTCATTTAAGTTTTATAATAACGCATGTGTTTTTAAGGGTAAACTACCTATTTAATTACCTAAATATTACTTAATTTTTTTAATTATTTAACTATTATTTTTAAAAATTATATCTAATGTTATATTTTATATATGTTTTAAGGTAAAATACACAAATGATCTTTTGATTATATGATGTTACTTTGTTGAGTCCGAGATTATTAAAAATTACAAAATGATTAATCAACTATTTATATGTTTCAAACTCATCCTATCCCGATAAAAAAATTAATGGTCATTTGAACAAGACATTAACATGTTAACTGAGATAAGATAGTCGTTTGAGATTCTAGTATCAGATTTTAACATGTCTCAGTCATCAAAATAATATTCAACTCAAATTGTCGTCAATCTTTTAATTGAAAATGACAACTTTAAAACATATAAATAGTTGAATGATCATTTTATTATTTTTAATAATGAATAACTCAACAAAGTGACATTCTATAATCAAATATTATTTTATAAATTTTAATAATTGAATAAAATATAAAAAAAAAACAGCATGTAGTCATTTGTGTAATTTACCCTATGTTTAATGACCCACTTTTAAAGTAAAATTTAACTACCAATAATTGCATTACATGTTTTGATAGTCTTGTAAGAATGTGTAATCCAATCTCAAGTCTATTTGATTAGGACATAGCCATCAACTTTCCTATTTATTATAATGATTACGTTCAAAGTACTCATAAGGTTTGCAGTAAGTAGTAAACCCAGATTGTACACCCTCAATGAAATCTCAGTTTTTGCCCCCTTTTTGAAATGCAATCTCAAAGGGAAATTAATGAAAAGTCAAAAGAGTTAGATTAGTTTATTTATAAAGTCACCCACTTATTCTTTTTTCTGCTATTTACAACCAGTAATGGAATGATTGCGACCCGAGAGAAGAAGAAGAAGAGATGGGGCGTTGTTTAATAATCTGTCAGGCTTCTTTCTGAAATGGGTTTCAGTTTTAAAGTCGAAGAAGGCCTACCGAACCTGGACAGAGCAGGCTCCTGACCACACCCACCGCGTGGCTTGGATGCTGCTGCACCAGTGGCTCGATGAAGGTGACACCTGAACGAACCGGCGTGGCTTGTTGGAGAGCATATGCAGGGACATTTCTTGGTTCTGTTCATCTCCATCGCATGCTGTTTTGCCTTCATCAATCCATCTCTCTTATTCGGTGGCCTGGGAATGAAAGCTTTTATTTCATCAGTGATGCACCAACGTGAAAGAGAAATCACTTTCTTCATTGCACTGTTTAGTTATTTGTACAATCGGCAATTAGTTCATGTCAGTATGATAAGGCTGCAATCTTCTGAATTTGGCAAATACAACAGAAACAAGTTAATGCACAATTAAGCATTCACGTGGTATTGTTTCTCACAGAAATACTTTCATAATTAAGAAAAAAAATATAAAAGTTAATATATATATATATATATACATATGAAAAAAACCATAAAGATGAAGCTCACCATGCTGCAGCCATGGGGTTTAGATCTGACTTCAACGACTCCACTGGCATTTTTTCAAAAAGAAAATTGCTCAACAAACGAAGCGAGGAAGATGAGCAGAAGAATATGAAATAAGCTTAGCAGAAGAGGATAATGAGAAAAGGGGAAGAGATAAAAGAAGATATATACTTTTTATTAGCGTAAGAAACGTTCAATTATCAACAAAAAGATGATTTAAAAAATTTGTTTTTCTTTTATATACGAGAAAATTAAGGGATAATTCAATATATATTCGGAGATTTGAGTCATCCTGTGTGCAGTTGTCGGGTGAATCTTGTGCTTTAGATGAAAATCTAAAGGTTAAAAACCAATTGACTGATTCGATTGGGTTGTAGTATCACAGGTCGGGTATCATCTTAACTTTGTAAGCTAAAACTGTTCATATGCACATCTTAATTGAAAAAAAAATTAAATTCAATTTTTTTATAACCACGTCTGTGTGATTAATTAATTAACTAATTCGAATTGAGTGTAGAAGTTTAGACGAATTTCTCAATCCATTTTATTCCATGCGTAAAATTTTATTTTTTATAAAAAGCCGCTAATTTATTAAAAATAGAAAATATGTCAATTACAATAAAGGTTTATAATCATGTATAAATTAAACATATAATAAGAATATTTTCATAAACACAATAAAACTAGTCGTTTAAGACGACGCAAGAACCATAAAATAAAAATGTTTAGAAATATAACCAAATAAATTCGAATAAGAGATAAATACGAATAGATCTGACTGCATCGACAAACGAACCATAAAAGAAACTAAAACTGTTGAAAGACCATCGACATACAACAAATCAGAAACGAGCGATGTGAAAATATTATCCACGAACGAATAAATGCATATCTAAATTTAATCTGAGGGTCCAAAGCAAGAAAAATCATCATGAAAACAACGGCCAAACAACCGAAAAAAACAACAGTTAAATCTAACCCTAAAAAATAAAAATAAATGCCAAACAACCGAAAATGTGCCATAGTGATATGAAAAAATGTATCATAAAGGCAGAAAAATATGTGTTGAAAAGTCAAAATTATTAAGAACAAAAAAAGAAAAAGAAAAACACAAAGATTTGATATAATAAAATAAATGAGAAATAAAGAATATTGATAATCGACAACCAATATCAATATTGATCACGACGTCAATCACAAAGACGAAGAAGAAAAGATATTAATGATGGCTATAAGGAAAAAAAAAACAAACCCTTATTCCATGGGCAAAAATAAAATTAAAATCTCTAACCTTATTTAATAAATATAATAAATATAATGCTTCATCCTATTATATCAACAAATTAATGGTATTAAAGTTAAGTATTTAATTAAACTAAAAAATATTTAAATATCAAAATAAATATTGATTTGAAATTTAGAACATAGTTAAATAAAAAGATTTAAATATTAAAATCGTTTTTAAACACTAAAATGTATAATTACCCATTTTTAAAATCAATTCATAAACCCGACAATCATACATGAACTAGTTCGAGTAAATATGGATTCAATCAACCGACTCCAAAGTAGAGTAAGAAGGCGGGAAATAATCTGTTTTCAGAGAAGAGTGAATAAAAAATTTGAAGGATCTGATGCGTAGCCCGTGATGTTAGAAACAATGAAAGGTGTGTAAATTTCTCAAGTTCCAAGCACTGTGAGTTTTTATTATCTGTTTCCTGGATCTGCAAACTGTTGCAACAGTTTGCCCCATTCCTCCAAAAGCAACATCTCATACTTCCAAATTTGAATACAATCCCATGACATGAAAATTCGTATAAAATAATCAAAAGAATCGCGTCTTTTAACATCATGTTTTGATTTCTTAAACAAGCGAAGCAGAATTCTTTTTACAAGACCGTAAAAAACTCTCGAGAAAATTACCCCATCATTCCTTACAGAAATTTTCATATATTCATCAAACAGATTGTCATAGAAAAAAAAAACTTCTGAACAAGGTTATGATCGTGAGTAATAATGATTAATTAATATAATAATAACCATTACGATAACTATCATCTTAACCCCACTAAGACCCTCTAATATACAGAGGGCAGGGAAAGATCAAAAGAACTATATTTACGTAATCCTCCAAGGTAATCAACTTGGCATCAAGCAGCATGAGAACAAGTTCGACCCTTTTTTCTGCAACAAATTAAACAAAGAGAAAATGATTAATAATTGCATAAAAAACACAATCATTACAAACATGGGGGACAGTGGGGCAGATTGTAAAAGCTTCTAAATTCAAAAATCAATGGAGTAGTGGAGCCTACCTTTTTGGTTTCTGGGTATAGTAGGTCAGGGGAGATTTTGTAAAGGTCTTCATCAACGGGTTTTGGAGTTGGCTTGGACATGGGAATGGAGCTCGCTGTCATTGCCGGTTGCTTCACGTCACTGACCTCCCACCCTTGCTTTTTACCGTCTTTAACATGCTTCTGTCCTACTTTTGTCTGTAAACATGCTTATTAATTAGTGTTTAATACTAATTGTTTATTAATATCATCATCATCACAAGTGATAGAAAGGAAACTAGGCACTAAAGAAGATTTTTTTGCATCCTTTATCTTAATGGAAAGTCGACTTTAAAGGTCTCTAATGGTGGCATTGCTTTGTTAGGCTACTTTCAAAAATAGTATTATCTTAACACAAAGTAAGCACTATTCTCCTGGCATGAACAATTCAATGGCAAAAGACTAAACATGCTTACAAAAAACAAATGAAATAAACCACTGTTCTACTAGCAAGAGATGAGCTTCAGGCAAATGAAAGAAGTTTAAGGTTGTTTCGTTCTTAGCTTACTTACCCTTTTACGAGGAACAACAATCATGGCGGGAGTAACGATATCATTCTCATAAAGATCGCCGGCGACGTATAAATCACGATCCTCGGCGTAGCTATAACGAAGCAATCCAGTTTGTCGAGCCGATTCAAAACACTGAGTAAAAGGAAGGTCGTTGTTCCAATCCCAGCTACCAAAAGCCGGAACATGGTTCCTTCTGTAATAATCCTGAACACACAAACACAATCATCTCCTTTAACCAAAAACAATGCCAAGTATAAAACCAAAACCAAAAAAAGAACACACATGAAACACAATTTGAAAGCATAGAAGGAAGAAAAGGGTAGACTTTCTTACATCCATATTGCGGGAGAGAAACAAGTGTCGGAATGTATTGGAGATTGACTTAACTTTTCGAAGAAGCCCTTTCAAAGAGAGGGTCGATAAATTTGTTTCTTCTTTCACTTGTTTCTTTCTTTGGGCGAGCGGGGAAAAACTAGCAATTTAAAGGGTGAAAGGAATCTAGGGTAAAAAGTAGGGGGTATGGGGCGGATCCAAAGCAGTGAAATTTTATCTTTGGTAAAAGAAAAAAAGTAACCCAGATACCGAAGTTTCACAGTAGAAAACACAAGGACAAAGAGGTAAGGGTAAGATATTGAAAAGATGAAAGGTAGAGAGAAAAAGAGATTTCTAGGGGATGACTAAGATACGATATTTTAATATACATTAAGAAAAAATGTTATAGAAAATATTAATATTTTTGATAAAATATTATCTAAAATATTATTTTTTATATTAAAAATGTTAATATTAAGTGTTATCTAAAATATTTAATATTTTCTATATTTTAAATAACACTTTACTAAAAATATTAATATTTCAAATAAGTCTCTTTATTAATGATATATTAAAACTATCTTCTAGCAGAACTATCCTATTTGTAAGGGTTTGTGCGCTTTTGATCAAATGTATATTCCAATGTTTGAATCTTTTTATTTTACTTTTGTTTATCTTTTACTGTGATGTTCAAGCAAAGGCTGTGGATTGGCCTTTGGTTTTAGGGTTCCTAACCCCACACGCGTACGGGGGAAGAGAGGTGGTTTGATGAAAAGTAGTTAATGACGATGAGCTCAGTAAAGGGTCAACACTCAACAGTTTAGATTGGGTGTGTAATGGATCTGAGAGGGGTAACAGTGTTATGAAGTTGAAAACTTGCAGAAGACAAAGTTGCAGTGAGATGGAATAAATTTTATCTTTTTATTTTTGCAGGGAAGCAGTTGACTTGATTAGGACATGTGCAACTGTGCACACAATCTCTTTCCTTTAATTTATTAACTCTCTAATAGTAACTTTTTATATTTTACATCCTCTGAATTTGTTTCTAACCATCGGTAATATTTGAACTTCCCAATAAGCAAATAATCTTATTTATGATTCTTTAAATAATTAACATTTTACTGATTTAACTATTAAATTTATTAATAAAATTATATTTATAATGTGTAAGATTCAAATAATATATTATTTTCTAAATTTTAAAAAACAGAAGAAAATAAAATTTAAATATAAGCAAATGACAGAGAGAAATAGGTATGATAGGAGGTGGAGTAGTTTGTTGTCAATTGTCATAGAGATTCTAGGCGTGTCCAAATGAGGCGTTCTCTTCTTTCCCTGGTCACTCAAATGTATAATTCCATCCCAAACAAACAAAAACAGAAATACAATTTATTTTTAAAATTAGAAACTATTTTATGTCTATTTTTTATTATTCATAAATATAAGGTATACAAGGCTTAAAGCGTAAACCAGTCCACAATGGGTGGTCATCTATCTTCTTTCACATTCGGGAACTATGCAAGAGACAGTGGACTGTGAAATTTCAACATGTACCACGTGATGGAAACAGGATAGCAGATTTCCTGGCGAAGCTAGCTAAACAATCGGACCTAGAGGTGCACATCCTCCCGGCCCCGCCTGCTGAAGTAGAACACATGATTCAAGAAGAAGAAGCCCATGACGTATAAGTGTCTTTGACACATTTCTTTCCTTACCCAAAAAAAGAAAAGAAAAGAAAAGATAACAATATTCCAGAGAATCAACTCCCAGCTGAATTTCTTCTTCGTTCCCTATATTCTATCGTGAATTAATTTGCCAATACTTATCTTTCAAATTATTCAAAGACAACCATAAATTTACAGCCGAAGTTAAAAAGAAAAGGCCAATCCACGTATCAATAGCTTATTCTTTTATCGTTTAGACCCATCGGGTCTATCTTGTTGAACCGTCGGCTAATTTGTTAAAATGGTAGGCTAATACCACTATCTATAATATTTGACGAAAATCCCCAACTTGTTATCATCCTTAGTGTTATACCAACGTTTTGTTTTCGCGAGGCATGAGCGTAATATTGCTCTGGGTTCCATTCAAAGCTTAAAATACTAGACATAGTAAATGTTGGTATTAAATTTTCGGCTTATCGTTGATTCGAACCATACACTTATTTGAAGATGTAGAATAAAAAAACACACAAATTGAACCTCAGACGAAGTCTATGTATATTTGTTTTAACGATAACAGTAGTGTTTGCATTAATGGTTATCGACTCGAGCAAAATGCTGCTTTATATAATATAATTTGTTTCCTCGTTGTCGAAGCCGTCTTACCTCAGCCGGTAGAAGGCATGGCTTTTAATCATGTGGTCATGGTTCGATTCCAACAGACGGCGTTTATTCTTTCAAATATTTTTCCGCTCTTTAATTACAGAGTAAAACACTGCTTCTAAAAGCCCAAAGCCTCCCAAAATTTTGTCTCTGGTGGCTGTGAAGAAGCATTACTCGAAGAAATCACCAAGTCTCTCGTGTTCCTCGTATGATTACTCCCAGAATCTATAATTATATTACTCTGTAATACTGTATGAACACGAAGATTTTGAGAAACGCTTTTATTTGTGGACATCTGTTCCAACCTTTGTAAAAAGATGACAACGCTTCTTTGTTTTGGACTTTGGATAAAGACAGATTGTGTCAAGTCCCTTATTCATCAAGTGTTAACAGTTTAATCCAAGTTGGAATCATCTATTATTAGGAGGATTACTTATAAATATATTTATTATATTTAAAATGATAATGCAGAAACACTATAATGTGATTAAGTATAAAAAGTAATTTAGGAGCTTGAATATTAAAACGACACCTGTTTCTAGAATCATAAAGTGGTCCTGAATAAAGAACAAGATGCATGTGGAAGCTGCTTATCTCAAGCTAAGCATAATTATGAGGTGGTTAATGAGTCTAATTATAAAGCTTTCATGCCCATTTCCAATTAATTATACAAGTTTATGTTCCTTTTAATTAATTTCCTTGTTTTATTTATTTATTTAAAAACAAGTAATACATCTTCCACAACTATACTAATGAGTTAATTAATAATAATGCAAATGAAAGGAGGTATTTTAATACTTAATATTACACAATTTTATGCTTGAATCATGGGTAGATATATGCAGAGGCGGGGCTAAGACGGCGCAACGTGTGCGACTGAACAGGACCCCGAAATAACAAGGGCCCAAAAAAAAAAGATTTATTACTATTGTTACAATAAAAAAACAAACAAAGTAATATGGATCAGTGGTAAAATTTTTGGGCCCAAAATCACAGAACCTACGATCGAATCTTGTGAAGTTATATAGGAAATACCAATAATTAATATTGTGCTATAGCTGTAAAGCTTATCTCATTTTTTAAGAATTTGCACAGGGCCTCCAGCTTTCTAGCCCCGACCCTAGATATATGAGTTTCGTGTAATTAAATAAAATTGTACTAATTAAATTCAGTAATAAAAAATAATAGTAATGTTGTGTTTGAAATGCCGATATATGTTTATATAATTATTAGAAAAACAAAGTACATAAACCATCACTACAATATACTGAAATAATTTTATAATTGTTTAAGTTTTAAAAATTATAAAACCGTTACTAAAATTTTCAAACAATTATAAAATGATCATTAAATTAAAATTTATCACTATTTTATAACATATATTGAATTTAATGATTATTTTACAATTTCTAAAACTTCATTGATCACACAGTTATTTCAATATAATTTATTAATTATTTGTGTGTTTTATCATATTATAAATAGTAAGTTCCATTAATTTAAGTGTATTTATATAACTCTAATCGTATTTTTCAATTTTCTAAAAAGTTAAAAATTTAGCCAATTATGTTTCTAACTAGTAATAATAACTTTAATGATTTTTAAATTGTTTTTTAATTAAAGTTCCATATTAAAATGTGCAAATACATTTGACAATCAAACTTAGATAACAATTATTTTAATAGTTAATTATTAGTTTTATAAAATAAAGAGTAAATACAATAAAATTATAAGAAGAGCCTATAAAAAATAAAGTAGACTAATCATATAAATCGTTAGAGTGTTTTCTCCAACCACTAAAGAGTAAAATAAGGTCATATAAAAAACTTAACAACTTGAAGAAATGATAGATTCAAACAAATATTTTTGTCTACATTGAATAATAAACACCATCAACACTAACATAGAAATACAACTATAAAGATTGTTATCTACAAGTTGATTTAATCCAATTATGATCTATCGTTGATGTTTACGAGTGACTATCAATATAATAGTGTCGGATTGATGATTCAAAGCAGAGATAGATTAATAAGTCAACCAAATAAACATCAATTGTAAAGATGACATAAAATTCAGACAAAAAATCATGTTATAAAAATAGAAGAATACATCCATCATTTTTCACTACATTAAAACCAAATAATATAAAAATGAAATATGCAATAATTAAATAGATAAAAAAAAAAAGAAAAAGAAAAAGAAAGAGTGATGAGATGAAGAGAGAAAAACAAGAATTCTAATAAGGTACAAATAACAATCCTTTTGATAAAAGGTCCACTGATAATTAAGAAAAAATAATGTAAAAGTATTAGTAAAATTTAATTTATTAATTGTTACTAAATTAGTATAAAATTTCACATCAAAATGTCGTTAATCTGCTTCGTTTTCCCTTGCTGGTGACTTCAAAACCTAGTATTTGGTAGTGAGACAGTTGCTGCCTACAAGTATGTAGTGAGACCAACCTTTTAGGGGAGGTGAACCAAAACCTAAGAAAAGAAAACACTCAGTTCCCGGCCACTGGTCCTCCTCCTCCGCGTCACCAGTGAAACCACGCTTAAGTGGCGGCGCATGAAGGCGGAGTTATCTGTCACTCTCAAGCGTACACACCTTTAATTGTGGACTGGAATAAGGTTAACGATATATATGAAATTAGAAGAGGAAGACAAACAATAAAAGCAAAACATAAAAAAAGACATGATGAACTAAGGACTAACGGAGATCGGGAAAAATTGGTCGTTCCTCTATAAAATTTTCAAATTCTCTTATATTTTAGAATTTTTATTTATGATATGCTTTTATCAC